CAATGTGTCAACTTTGTGAAAGAGAAAACATGCACTCTCTTGAACATTATATTGTAGAATGTCTCATACTGACTGACTTTCCCCCTCCTGGGCTAAGGTATGCTGAACTCTGTAATTACTATATGAGTACTGGAACACTTGATGGTATATTGGACTTGTATCCAAGATTGACCATGTAATATATCAATTATACAATGTATATATATATATGATGTAAGTATATAACCTGAGCTTGTAAAAGCACCTTCATCACCTTCAGTGATTAAGTGCTTAATTGCACACTAGTTTCTTTATCAGCTATCTCACCCTGTCAGAGTAAATGAGACAAATGTAATTACCTAAGTGTAATTACCTAAGTGTAGTTACATGATGAGAGCTACGCTCGTGGTGTCCCGTCTTCCCAGCACTCTTTGTCATATAACGCATATGTCATATGTATGTGAATGCATGTGTGTGTGTGTATATATGTATGTATATGTGTGTGTGTGTATGTATATGTATGGGTATAAAGTATATATGGAAGCTGATCAGAATTACATTTCACCTTTGTGAATATACATTAATGACACTATGTAAAAGACACACCAAACACTTTATGTTGGGCATATGTAAATCTGTGTATCTATGTATTTACGTATGTAGGTTAGCTTAGCATTTTAAAACCACCGAATCACCTTCTGTGGTTGAGTGTTCAATAAACCCTTGAACTATATGTTTAACACTTCTCTAACCCTGTCCATGGAGGACAGAAGAAACTGTATATATGCTGGCTAGCATTGTAAATGTGTGGCCACGTCTGTGGTAGAAAATAATAAAAAAAAAAAAGCACTGCCGAAAGACAACGCGTCCGTGAACACATCGAGCGTGGGCTCGGGTAGGCGCTAAAGCATTGAACCCTGAAAACCCTAAAGAGGAAGGCAGCGACGCAAGGCCCCCGGGGGTCGAACCCAGCGATAGAAAGAGAGGCGGAAGGGACGTCTCCGAAGGAACCAGAACAGCCGATGAAGCCAAACCCGACCCGGTGGGTAGACCATCATCGCAAAGTGCAGGCTTCCCCAGAGACCCTCGAGCAACCACAGGGTGACCCGGGAGCCCCTCAGAAACAAGCACATGTGGAACCGCAGCCAATGGAGAGACTCTGGAGGAAGAAACATGAAAACGGTCCGAGAGTCCCCACACAAGACCCAGCCAGGTATGAACTTGGGAAGGAACCAGATGGAACTTTCGCCAGTTCACCAGGAACCCGAACTCGGCTAGCTGGGAAAGCACCAAACCCTCGGCGAGCAGACACGCGGACCGATTGGGAGCCTAAACCAGCCATCCGAAAGGAGGGGCAAAAAACCCAGAGGTTCAGACGGGACAAGCCCAGAATGAACCACAGGTACGCACAGTCCCGTTTCAGGACTGGGAACAGGCGGGAAACCCACCTGATGGACATCGTCGTTTCGACCACGCCCAAGCGCACCCACTTTAAGACGACCGAAAAGAGCGCAGAAAAAGAGGCCTGCTCTGCCAGCCCCGAACCCCCCGAAAAAGGAGGAGCCACCCAACGCCACCGAAGACCGCGAGACACGACCTGAAAAGCCCACGAATCATGAGACCAGGCGTGAGTGAACAGAGAAAACTCCCCTTCCCCCCATCGCCCCATCAATGAGGCAAACCGCGAAAGGGCCGATGCCTCTTACGAGAACCTAACCTGCGCACAGAGTGGGCACCACGCCGACCAGACGCAGCTGGGACCAAAGGCGGAACCGGCTCTGAAACTGGCACCTGTGGCCCACCTTGACAAGCAGAACCGCGAGCCCTGGCACGACCCCTCTGGGAGGAACCCACCCAGAATCCCCGAAGAACAAACAAGTCAGACATTGGGCAGCAGCTGGAGGAAGCTGCTTTCATATATTGTTTGACTGTAGAAGCCACAAAGGACAAAAGGGTGAAGACAATCGAAGAGCCAGGGCCCAAGCAGATTCCAAGGAGAAAGCGAGCACCACTTGCCATCAAGCAAGGCACACAGCGAAAAAATGCAACAACGCATACCTGTGAATATTACGCAAGTACCTGTGAATATTACTCCAAGCTCGCACACCACCAAAAGAGCTGTATTGAAACAGAGGACAGCACAACAAGAGTCTGGAGCTGGAGCCACAACGACCAAGCTGTATCCCATCACCCGAAGAACTACAGGGTGGATCGCCTGTGCGGGGGTCTAGGGCTTCCCCTTCCCCCTCCCGGGGAGGAGGGGAGCTGCGCAGACATATGGTGTGGCTCATGTGATGTCATGCTTGTCTGCTCATTTTCAATTGGGGGAGTTCTGTCCACTCATTTGTCTATTTTCGGCATTTTTAACCAGAATAGAGGTTTGCTTTGGGGCGCTTACCTTTCTGGGTGCCTGTCCTGGTCGATGGCAGATATAGAATGCTCCAGAATCACATGTGCATTTCTATAGGCTATTGCTCCTCATGCCTCTCTGAGGGGCTCAGGTTCTGGCTCGTGGTCCCCGGTAGGCCTACAACTCCACCCACATCGACTGATGCCAAAGTTAGGGATATCCATATCAGCCTTGATAGCTCCAGGGAGCCATAGGGGCTCCCCCCAGAAAAATTGTCAATTATTCCTTCATATGAAAAAAAAGGTGAGCTGCAATGTCAGAAAAAAATCTGTGAAATTTCAATACAGATGCAACAACCTGCAGCATCAGAATGCAAACATATTTTGCCTTCCAGACTTTACAGCACTGCAATGCATGTTAAACACTATTGATGATGTGAAAATCCATCTTCAAGCACTGTAATCTATATATTCATCTCAGTGAATTATGAAAAGTATATACAGTATTACATAAGACTTAATACAACAAATTAGATGACACAAGTTTAATTAATTAATTAAAACATGCTTGGGCTGTTGTCCTACTCTTTTGTCACTGAATTCAAACAAATTTATAATTAAAAATACACAATATGTTACAGACACCCCAGCAAAAACTCTAAGATTTTAAATTACTATAATTGTATAGTAATAGTTTTTTACATTCCACATATGTAAAATATTTATGACCCATTGACATGGTTTTTATGAATGGGAAAAGATGAAGTTGCATGTATAGTTAAAACAATTCAATGATCTGTACCCAACCATATAATCTGAGTTAAGTCTATTCTGCAGTTACCCAGCCATTCATTCTGTGGGTGATGCACATTATGCACATCTATGATCTACCTAAAGAGCAGTTACCCATCCATACATTCTGTGGGTGACACACATCTATGGTCTACCTAAAGAGCAGTTACCCATCCATACATTCTGTGGGTGACACACATCTATGGTCTACCTAAAGAACAGTTACCCAGCCATTCATTCTGTGGGTGACACACATCTATGGTCTACCTAATGAGCAGTTACCCAGCCATACATTCTGTGAGCCATAAATAAGCTCACAGGAAGCAGCATTGTTGTCAAAAGTCTTCTCTGCGACTTTAAATTCAGGGTTTATTGCCAGCTGAAAATGATACATTAATTTAAAATTAACAATATTAGAAAAAATAAGAAAGATAAATTTAGTACTGTAATCTAAATTTACAATAAACTGTCAAAGTATGAATGTTAACTCCTAAACAATGCAGGATTTGAAACTACTGTATCGAGGTGCACATGACTAAACATTTTTAAATCAAATGGGAAAGTATCACAGAGCAACTGGAGCTCTGTAAGGGTTAAATAAAATAATAGTACATAAGGAGTAATGGAAGAATATTTCAGAGATGTTCATTACCATATGTGTAATTTTAATAGTCAAAAAACAGGCCATATGTCATGCTATTGGCATACTTTTCATCAATTGGCATTAGCCTTGCTTGAAATATTCCAGATCCACCAAATTTTGCTACATATCTCACTGGCAGCTATCCTAACACACTACTAATTTTCTCGATCAGCTAAACACACACATATCATCCTTGTCACTCACTTAAAACCAACGTTGCTAAAATTGGTGAAAACCCAATTACAGTGGTACCTCGGTTTATGAATGCCCCTCTTTACAAACTTTTCGGGTTACGAGCCAGATTCCTTCGGAAAATTTGAATCGGGTTATGAACTTTACCTCAGAATTTGAGTTTGTTGATACACGTATGGCCGACCTAGCACGTGGTGGCACGGCGATCGCGCCTCAGTTTACCAGTGCCTCCCGCCAAGTGACTATCCTCCCTGAATTCTTAGCAAAGATTAAAAAAAAAATCAGATTTTTGGCTATTTGAGTATAAAAGTTGTTATTATATATCTAGCCATGAGTCCCAAGAAAACCAGTAAGGTTCAAGGCAAGAAAACACATGCGAGAATGACCATAGAGGAGAAACAAGAGATCATTCGTAAACATGAAAATGGTACAAGTGTTGTTGAACTAGCTAGGCAGTACAACAAATCTTGAGGGGGGGAGGAGGAGGAGGAGGCAGTAGAGGTTGTCCTTAACTCATTAATTAAGAAAATGTGCGCAGTATGGGAAGAACTGCAAAGTTTTGCTGAAAAGAATCACCCAGATAGAGCTTTAGCAGGCCATTGCATTGATCTTATTAATGACAATGTGATGTCTCACTACAGACAAGTGTCACAAAGGGAAAAAAATCTTCATTGGAACGATTTCTAGTGAGAACATCAAGCAGTGAGCCAGAAGCATGTCCTAGTGGTATGCAGGCAAAATGTGCCAGTGTGTGTACCCTAGAGAAGTCATCACTGCCTGATGTTACAATGGAAGGGGACTCCCCCTCCTCCCTCACCGTCTTCCATACGCCAACAGGAGTCATCAGTTAAGGTAAATAATAACTTGTACATACTTTTGTAGTGACGATTTGGGTGAATTAGGTATAAAATTTACTTTAAAGTTAATTTTTGGGGGAGTCAGGAACGGATTAATTCATTTCCCATTATTTCTTATGGGGAAATTCGCTTCGGTTTATGAATTTTCGGGTTACAAACCGTCTCCAGGAACAGATTAAATTTGTAAACTGAGGTACCCCTGTATTATATACAAAAAATGCTGTTCATGTCCTTCCACCAGTCACAGTTCTACTCTTCAAAAAATCTCTTAAGTCTCAAACTTTACCCAAGATATTAAAAAAAAGCAAGAGTAACTCTAGTTGACAAAGGAGGTGATACAACTGACAAACAATTACAGTCCAATACCAAACTTACCAGTACAGTATTATCAAAAATATATGAAAAGAGTATGTACAAGCAGCAGTACACCTACCTAGTAAGACTCAATGTACCAAGTTCCACCCCTCTAAGCTTAAGATTCCAATGGAGTACCAATGAAGCCATTACAGTATCAGTTTATTTGACTTAATCCACAAAGCCTTTGACAAAAATGAGTTCCCAATTGACCTCTTCATTGACCCGAGAAAGGCCTTTGATACCATAAATCACAATAACCTTTTACTTAAACTTCATCACTATGGAATTCTAGACCTTGCTCTGAACTACTGTATATCCAATCATATCTCAATAATGGACACTAAATATGTAGTTATCAATGACATAACCTTTTCCACACTGCCAATACCTACAAGAGTGCCACAAGGCAGCTTCATAGACCTAATTTTTCTTATATACTGTACATCAATGACTTGCCAAATGTCTTTAACATTCTTAAACCTACACTGTTTGCTGATGATACTACCTTCATCTTTTCAAACCCCAACCCACACACTCTAAATAATATTGCAAATATTGAGTTAAAAATGTTCACTCATTGATGTCAACCTACAAACTCACAATATAGAAAAGATGTACATTTTAGTTGGAAACAAATCATCAAACCAAATACACCTTCAGATTAACAAAATAAACATTAATAGTAAAAATGAGGGAAAGTTCCTTGGCCTATACACAGACAAGAGACTTAACTTCAGTATTCACATAAAGCACATCGCCAAAATAGTTGAGTTAGTAGCACAAGGTGGGATACTATTGTGATGAAATTAGGTACTTCATCATTCTACTTTTGAATGAAGTATAGGTTGAAATTATTTGTACAGCATAAGGAAGAGTTCCATATATTGGGTCCTTTTATTTACATAGGACTTTTACTTATATTTAGTTTGCCTGGGAATATCAAAGAAATATTTATTTATGGTGTGAGATTCATGGGTTCTTTTATGTCCAGCTTGGAAAAATTTCAAGGCAGGAATTGGAATTTAGGAAAATTCTTTGCAAGTGTAAACAGCATAAGAGAATGTGTGGAGTGAGTGCATGTTAGCATGTTTCGGGATTTGAACAGGGGCTGTGTGTTGTCTGAAGACAAAGTTTGTTGTAGTTCTGATAGCTGATTTTTGCTGGGTAATGCTGGACTTGAGGTAGTTTACAATGGTTGAACCCCATGCCCAGATATTACCAGAAGTTAGGTAGGGATAGATTAGTGAGTAATATAGTGTGAAAAGAGCCAGAGTTGGGGACATAGTATCAGATTTTTTTAGAATAAACCAACAGTTTTAGATACTTGTCTTTTACTATCTAGAAATGTACAGTACAGTAACTACACGTACATAAATATATCATTTCTTTTATCACCACTTAGTATGTATAGTAATTATGTGAATTCAGATTCTGTCATTATATACTTGTCATTACATATATTACTGAACCAAGATTGAATGTTTTATCTTCTAAATTTAAATTAATTGCAAATTCTGCGTTAGCTTTAGAACCACTCTGAAATGCAATGCGTGTTAGGGGCTTTGCAAGAATATATAATTTAATCACCAATATAAGTACTTTCACAACCCATTGCACCTTTTTGCATTTATAAATAAATAAATTAATAAAGTTAAGAAATAAGAAGCATATTATTACAACCTGATAGCTAGATCAGGTTGCTAAGCTAGTTTTTCCCTAGTCTTTTTCCCTAATGTCTAATTTTTCATATTTTTATTTATATGAATAAAAGCATATTAAAAGCATATTAAAAGCATATCTGAGCGTATCTGAGCATATTTGCATAAAATCAGGTACAGTATTACAAGCAGACTTCTTTGAACTGTGTTATGGATACAGTTATTAAATACATAGCTAGTTTATTCATGAACTTAAAAGTTCCATGAAAGTAAACTTCAGAGGAAGAAATTGTAAATGTACCTACATAAACTACCTGAGACCTCACAGCTAGTGTAGCACCATGAGACACAAGGAAAGAGGCTTCAAATAATAGATTATAAGAGACTACAAACAATTACTTGAGTTATACTAAATAATAATAAAGAATTTAAATAAGGCAACACAATAAAAAAACACATTACTGTACTTTTAAAAATATAGTACAGTACTGTACAAAACTAAATTTTAAATAAGAATTAAATAAAATTATTATGAGTACTCAAAGCTGTACATTAAAACACTCACATTCTGATGACGCTAAAACGCATCATCTGTACTCCAATAGTAAACGTTTCAATAACATTAAAATGCTTCATCCGATTGCTATTCATAAACATTCATACATTCATCACTGTTGTGCATAATCTATTTTATATATTCTTTTGTTTTTGCTTCTGTTCTGAAGAGAATTCATTTGCAAATATTTTCGTACCAAATTTATAGTTATAACCCAACAAATAACTAAGAAAACATAAAATGACTGTAAACATTTTAAGGACTTGATAAGCCTACTATGTTTATATTTGGGAATGTGAGAGAAGAGCAAAATTCTGGGTTGCATTCTGGGTCAGTAATTCAACCTTGGTAGGAACCTCGATATAGGTCTAACGTACTTGAATACACTCTTGCTTCCTGTCCCCCAACACAATGAATTACAGTATTATTATTATTATTATTATTATTATTATTATTATTATTATTATTATTATTATTATTATAGCGAGATCCCCTCCAAGATCAAATTACTGACCCTTCCCAGGATGCAACACCCATAACAAGCTGACTAACTCCTGGGTACCTATTTACTGCTAGGTGGGCAGGGGCATTAGATGAATAGAAATGTGCCATTTCTATCCCACCTGGGATTAGAACCCAGAATTCTCAATTGTGACTCAAGAAAGAACACGACTTTACTACCAGGACCCTAAAAGTTAAAAGGTTGAAAGGCCTTTGAAATGTTCAAAGATCTTACACTGAATGCATTCAAAAATGTATTGAAGTAAATGGATGTCGTTTTGAACATGTATTGTAACTGATAAACTAATAAATAATTCATAAATTATAGTAAACAAATTCTAGTGGTGTTCCTTTTATACTTTGCCTATGGGGCCAGACTTTTAGGACACACTGTACAGTGTATATGAGGGTAAACACATTATATTTATACAAATACATACTATACTGTACAGACCAAAATATTTTACTCTTATTTATTTGGAGTGCATTTTATTTAACTTTGCCTTAGTAAGTGTACATGCTTCAGATTTAAATGGTAAGGTAATTTTAGCATATTTAATGTTATATATACTGAATATGAGAAAATACACTTACTACAGAGTAATAACTGGTAGAAAATAAAGAAACATTTTCATCATGCATTTTGTCTACAAACAGAGGAAGATGCACTGGATATTCAGGGCTGTGCAAGTGAGCAGTTGCCAACCAATGCACTGGCAAACACTCACGGTCGGGCAAGTGAGCAGTAGCCAACCCATGCACTAGTCAGGGCCAGGCAAGTGAGCAGTTGCCAATCCATGTACTAATGGATGCTCAGGCCCGAGCAAGTAAGCAGTTGCCAACATGGTGGATGCTCAGGAACAGGCAAATGACCAGTTGCTAACCCATGCACTAGTGGGCTCTCAGGGGCGGGCGAGAGTGCAGTTGCCAACCCATGCACTTGTCTCACTGTAGATAAGTTCACACACGGCTGCATTGTTATCAAAATTCATCTCAGCTACTTTGTACTCGGGATTAACTGCTACCTGGTGGAAGGTATATGATCTCTAAATAGAACATTGAATATAATGAAATACCATTTCAGGAGCCTCTCAGTGGCTCCCTAGGACTTGCCCAGTGCCATATCTAACACACCAGCATCGACGAGTGTCTTACAGTTTACTGAGAGCCCATACCAGAATCTTGCTGAAAAGATGCTACAAAGACTAACACACACTATTAAATATTTGGTACAAATACCAAAACCTCAAAACTATACCAAATACCAAAATAAAAACAACTTCATCACTTTCCCTCCCACCGCCACAAGGCAGTATTAGTTAACCAAAGGTTCAGCAAGGCTACCACCATCACACTTGAGTCTAAACATGCCCCATACAACCCACAGGTAAACAGGAACAACAGGGCTGGAAACAGGGAGCCAGGGAGGGGATGGGGGGCCACCAAGAAAGAGACATTTATTTAAACTGTGTATCACTAGTGGCTTTAAAGTAGTTATTTATTACAACTAGTAGTAGTTGTAACAAACAACTACTTTAAGGCCTTGAAATCATTCATTTTTCTTCATATTGTTGTCTGACTGGTCTCCATTCAGTTTCTTGAGTGCATGCCATTGTATTGACTTGAAATACTTAAAAAATATTTTAAGTTTGTACAAATGTATGTCTGCTCTATATATTGAACAATGTAGCCTATAAGAGATATTACTGGAGCAAAAGTGGAATTGTTCAAGAAACAATAGGCAAGTTTCTGCAAGAAGTGCCAGACCAACTGCACTGTGGTCGATATGAGGGCCTGCAGGCTATTTAGAAGCAGGTTCCTACAAGAAGTATTGAACAAGTTTTGAACAAGCATTGAACATACTCTACTGTATGAATAAAAGAATGGTCCAACAGCCTGTTGGACCAAGTTATCATGTTAGGCCTGGCTTCAGGAAGGGCTTAGGTAGTAGAACTCTCAGAACTCACTCCATGTATACTCCAGGTATACCCACTATGTAACTACTTTAACTTGTCCAATATATTGTTTATTGTATGAATAAAAGAATAATACAATTATTATTATTTTTGTACATTATTATTACTGTATTATTATTATTATTACTATTATTATTATTATTATTATTATTATTATTATTATTATTATTATTATTATTATTGTATTATTATTATATCAACTGGAGCTCTGAGGTGGCTCAAACCCGCAACTGAAAATCCTAGCCGCTGACACTAACCACTGGACTACCCTGTGGTCCAGTGGTTAGTGTCACCTAGTCAGCTCAGAGCTTTATTTGATTTTCTAAGTAGATATGTAACACATTAGTGTGATTTCTTTGTGTATCTGATGTTGGCACGTATGGTGGATGAACTACATTGCCTACACCCGGGTGCTTGGGGGTCATATGTAAAACTTGGACTGGTTTCAGGAGCCTCAAGCCTTCCTGTGATTTCAGAAGAAATCCGGTTGTAAGACTATTCCAAGTCAGCGGCTGGGGTTCTCTCGGACACGGGTTCTAGTCACCTCAGAGCTCCATTTGATTTTCTAGTCGATATATATATCACATTAGTGTGATATATGGGGCCAGACTTTTAGGACACCCTGCACAGTATATGAGGGGTAAACACATTATATTTAGTCCTCTAGGTTTCCTGAGGCTTCAATTGAAGCCAAGTCAGGGGGTTTTCACACATTGCCCCCATGCACTCCTAGACCACACCCAAAAGGTGGTGATTCTATGCGGAAGTGAACAATTCTACCTGCAGTTTCTCATGTAGCAGCCTTAAAAGAAATTTTCCCCAGCCAAACTAGGAATAAACACCCGAGGAGCTGATTTGGGACATGTGGCCAAGACCAAAGACTCCACATCTGATTATAAAAACATGGACTGAGCACTCGGCTCTGAAAGAGCTACATCCTGAGTACAAAAGTGCCAGGAATGCAAAGCACACACTCCTGTAAATATGCAGCTGCCTCCTGAGATAGAGGCTAAAATGCCCAGCAACAACACATTGCATACATGATGGTAAAAGGCCCTTTAATACAGCAGGAATAGTGCTTGAGACAACAAGGATGCCCATTGTGGTCAAAAACCCCTGTGGAACAATTCACAAGGCTGTATGTATCAGACTAGCCCTGAACAAGGTGGAGAAACCATCACAAAACCAATACAAACACTAAAATATTATCACCAAAAGACACAGGAGCAATTTTACATTGTTTTCACTTGAAGGGAGGTTTCAAGTGCTAGAGAAAACTTGCTGCCAAACATACATCCTGTTAACCAACCCCCGAGCAAGAATGGGAGCAGCCTACACAACAAATTCAAAATAGCAAATGCTGTTCATGAAGTGCATCCCAACAATGGTGTTCATAGCATAGATAGGCTAAATAGAAAAAAACAAAATAGCTTCATCAGCTCTGATGAAGGTAAAAGTCTCCACAAACCACAGGACAAGAAATCCATAAGAGATCCTTCCTCTGAATAGATAAGCAAGCTTTCTTAAAAGTGTTAAAGGCTACAAAACCATGTTAACAATGTACATAATGCTAAATGTCTGTCATTAAGCACTGCCTAGTCATAAGCACACAGTTCTACTGTATTTCCAAATGAGCAAGATGGTAGTGTTTACTAATGCCAAGTCCCAAAGTACAACCCGAGAAAAGCTAGAACGTGAGTTCATCCTAGGGAGGAATTGACTACAGCCTAATAGACCACACTGCCAACCAGAAGGCCTTGTTCAAGTCTGGGCAGCTAGTACATTGATCCTTTGAGCCACATCATGATAAGATCAGAAATTAGCTAAAGTTATCTGCTACCATAGCTAACAGCTTTCAGGTAAAATAACCCTGAAACCACTGCTGAAGTAGGCAAAAACCCATTACACCCACAAGGTTACTGCCAAATATGTTTGTTAAGAGCATTAACAGACATGATACCCAGAAAAAGTTCATATAAACAATCAGAAAAGCCAGACACTTGGTCAAAAATACAAATTTTTGGAGACATTGAATGTTAGTCAAGAGATACCATCCATATGTGATGTTGGCAGCCACAGCAGACCTCTATTGACTAGTCCTGCCATCTACGGGCAGGAGGAGGATATGCAGATATAATTTTTTTAGCATTTGGAATAGTTTTCAGGTTTGTTTATATTAATTCCCATGAAACATTTCTATACGAGAAATTTTGTGAACCCTTTTCAATCTAAAAAAAAGAAAAAAGTGTAGTCTTTAGACTTCCTCAGCTTCCATGACTCTTTGAGGGGGCAGGATTATGGTACCTGCTCCTGGTAAACCATGAGTGTGTCACAGATGCCTGGAGTGTTGGTCTTGACTATACAGATCCAGTGTGTAAGATATGGGGGAGCCACTGAGGGCACCACCCAAGAATTATATTTGTAAATTATTAAATTATTTGAATATTATCCCAATATTATTTATTATTTGTCATATACAGTAATTATAACTATCAGAGTAAACAGATTTTGTGATGTGTATGCAGCATGCATATTGTTATATGCTCATGCTCTTACATTAGCAATATACAGGCCTGCTACTATGAATATTTTGCCATGCAATGTTTAGATATACTGTACTGACATGTAGACACATGATTTAGGGTGTTTGCTAATAAATATAATATTGCATGATTAAGAAATACACAAGCGTTGAATGTAATGAAAAGTCATTTTCTGGGTGAGACCCAGAGGCTTCTCGGAGTTATTCAGGCTGAATGGATATGTATAACTTTCTGGCATCAGTCAATGTGCATGGAGTTCTTGCCTACCGGAGACCATAAGCCAGAACCTGGCCCCTCTCAGACAGGCGCGAGGAGCAATGGTCTATAGAAACCCCTATGTGGTTGGAAGCATTCTATGTCTGCCATCGATCGGGTCTGACACCCAGAAAGGTAGGCATCCCAAAACAATTTCCTATTCTGTTGAAACTATTGCTACCGAAAGCCGAACGAGTGGACAGAACTCCCCAAACGAAAATTAGCAAACTAGCATGACATCATCACGTCGCCATGCTGCTGTCTGCGCACCCTCCCCCCATCCCCAGGAAGGGGAAGGGGAAGCCCCAGACCCCCGCACCAGCGATCCAAGTGCCAGTTCTTAGCCTAGATGTCAAAAACACTTGAAAACACCGCCGACCGGAGGGAGGGAGGGAGGGAAGCTGGGGAGCCTCTCATGCTCTCCTCTGTACCAGAGAAGAGCATGAAGCTCCCTGACCCAAACCCCAGAGGCCAATTCCAACAGGAAAAAGAGCCTTGGAGAAGCAACCTGAACCGAAAGGGCCACCACAAACCGAGGAGAAGAGAGACAATAGAGCACCCGGTCCAAAGACCATGATGGCTCATAGGCGCATGAGCAGGCTGGGGGCAAAAGAACACATGAGATAGCTTGCGGAACGGGGCAGAAGTAACATCAACACTGAATGCAAGCCAGAGCGGCTCTGCCAGCGCCGCACGATATGAGGCGACAGTATGCGGCATCAGATGACGGTCCTGGAACAACCACGAAAGGAAGGACAAGACAACTCTATCAGAGACCGAAAGACACCTACACATTGATAGGAAAAACTGGAAGGACTTGTACAAATCTAACTTGTACAAGGAAGGAGCGAAAGACAACCCTTCTCCTTGTAACACCAATCCCCGCTCCAAGGGTATAAAAACCCAGGAGGGGTCCAACAGGGCCCAAGGCCCCAAAGTCACCACCTCCCCCCCCCCACTTCTAAAGAAAAGACACGGGGCCTCCGAAAAAGCAGGAATGAAGGAGGGGCCCACTGGTCAGACCCAGAAGGTCTGGGTGGAGGATCAGGCTCAAAAGCCTCCGCTGCAACCCAGGAAGGGTCCCCCCCCCCACCCGTGAGACCTCCCGAGTCTCAACACTAACTAGACCCTGCCCCGACTCCAAAGCCCTCAGACATTACGAAGCCGGAAGCAAGAGAGGAGGAACTGGATGCACAACAGAAGGGGAAGGATTAGGAGGGGCGGACGGAACCAGAACCAAAGCGACTCCCA